TGCATTGTAATTCCTTAGGCAAGTGCAGGGAACAAAGCCTATCCCAACCATTAGCTCATTTGATCTTCAGAATAGCTCCATAAAATTGACTGCATCTCGCAGATGAGAAAAACAAAGGCTGAGATTTATTAATTTGCTTCTCCAAATTTGGATCCAGTTTTTCTGACTCCCAGTCCACAGCTACAAGGTGTCTGCATCCATTAGACTGAGAGCTACTGGAGGACAGATATGAAGCACAGAGAAAAATGATACAACCAGAGATGCATGTGTATCAGAGCAGACTCTTGAATTTCAAACTCAAGACAGTCCAGATACACTCTAGGAAAAGTTACTTTTTGGACAGGCAAGCCATATTTTTCAGAAAGTTTAGGCTGGGCCAGGAGGAGCTGGGTGGGGGAGGAGATAGGGGAGGCTAGAGCCATGGGTGGTACCAACTTTGAAAATATCTCCATAAAAGTTGTCTCGTTCTTGTTTGAAAAGTATGAAGGAATAGAGAAGTTAATATAGGATGCAGACAAGTCATGGGGTGCCGGTCTGTTAAGAATCATTCTTAACATGGCTCTGGTGTTTCCCTATGCAAAAGTGCATGGCTATGCCTTAAGCTTTGGAGTACTATGTTCAGACTCCAGGGAGTATGTCCCAAGGTATAAAGTTGAACTATATAAAACTTGTGTACATATGTATATAACTCCATACCCCACAAACAAACACTGAAGTATAGAATTTCTCATATGCGAGTGGCTAATAAGCACCTTCAACCATCAAGATATATAGGTTAAGGCACTAAGACTAGAGCTTTTCTCCTTAATTTGCATTGAAGGCACCTAGTGCCCAGTGATATTAAACTGAGAACCATGGAGGTGGCCTTGCAACCCCTTGACTGCCCATTTCTTTGGGAGAGGATGTCCAAAGAGTCTAAGGGGAGGAGGCAGGGATGGAGATGATCAGGGCTGCAGTGCTGAGTCAGTGATGAGGGTCTCTTTCTATGTCAAGACTCAACGTGGTGCTCTGGAAAAGGTGGTATGTTCCATTACATTACATAATGGCATATGGCCATTCTAGAACATTCTGAGGTCTACAAGTGATCAACAGATCCAGGAGAAAAAAATGGAGCCATTATCTAGTGACAGCAGAAGGACGGATATTTTGTAGTGAGCTTGGCTAAAACCAGTTTGGTAATTAACTCTATCAGGGAGGGGCTCCAGTTTCCCTTCTTATAATGCCCAAATAGTCCTGTGTATCTCCATGTAGTCTTATTTTTGTACGGTCTCACGTTCAAAGAAGTCCAGTCCAGACAGCCAGGGGGAATACAAAAAGAATTCTGTATTCTTTAACTTGCATCTTTTGCAAACTATAAGAAAATGCCATTTGAATTCCCCACCAACATCTTATATCCCTTTCTGTCTTTCATTTCTTAAGACTCCTTCCCCTACCTCAAAACAAAACCAAGCAACAAAAACAAAACATCCCTCAGGCTTTCTTGATTCCCCCCCTCTCCCATTTTTCCCCCCTCAGTTGTCTAAATATAAATTAATTTAGCTTCTTTCATTAAGTCCTTCCCTTCATCCTTTGTATCTTAAACCCATTCTATGCCTGCTTTCTGGTTCTGAGTCACAAAAGGAGACCCCTAACAGGAAGAGAAAGACTTTCTTTAGAGAGTGGCAAGGAAGCCCTTATGCCAACATGGTGAACCCTTCGGGGGAGAAGCCGAGGACATTTTATGTTTACTGGAAACAGCTGTGGCTACAGCTTTAGGCAGGCTTTGAGTCAGTAGTATGCAGTAGAAGCAGAAAGAAAAGAGAGCAACTGCGCCCATGTCCACAGAGGGCAGGGACAAGACCCAGGCAAGCCCAAGACAGTGGGGGGGGGGGGGGTTGC